AGCCTTCACTTCTGTTTGTTACATAACAGATTACGAAATTAAAAGTTCATTATTACATTAATAAGGAACCAGCAGTTCATTTTACACAGAAAATAGTTGTTTGCACGAATTCATAAGGTTTTACAAACACATGTAGGCAACAACGCAGGGTGCAATAGGTATTGCCACAACGTTGCACTTTCAACACGCATAAACAATGCTGAAACAAAACTAATCCCACACCCTTCACAGGTTTACAGCTGGATGTACAGCTACAGTTTCAGACCTGAGACTCAAAATAAGAGCAATAGGCGGCCCTGACAGCATTTCCCTTGGCTGTTTGCATTCTGTATTGGACACCTTGTTGGGTGCTGAAGCAGCTGAGTAAGTCTCTGCACCTCAGCCTCCCACCCACCGCTCTTACTCTCACAAATATAGTGCAAAATACAACATGCTGCTATGATCTCCAGGATGTTTTTTTCTGCAGCTTCCAATCGACTTCTCCAACAGCACCATTTCCCTTTCAGATCTCTACTCAGCTACCATTCTGCAGCTACGGAGGCAGTAGTTAAACAGTTTCTTCCTTGTGTCCAAGTGGTCTGTGAATAGCTTCATTTACCAGGGAAGGAGAGGATAAGCTGGGTCTCACAGGATGACCAAAGCAATGTCCACATCAATAAAAATCCACCGTGTTGCCAGGGGCAAACAGTCCTTTCTCCATTAATTTTAATAGAGCAGAGTTTCAGAATATCCTAGCTTCATGTGGACTCTTGCAGACAACCCAGCATTTGTGTCCATAAGCCTGCCATGGTTTTTGACAAGCCCTTGGAGCATCATGGAGAACTACTCTTTTCTGTTTTTGAATTTTGAGCCCTGATGGGGCTAATAGGCATATGGGTCCCATCAATTGCCCAAATACAGTCTGGGAACCTCACGCATGCAAAGTCATCAATAACCTCCTGAGAATTACAAAGCTTTTTAACATGGTGCAACAGTACCTTTTCCGTGGCATCATACCCCTGCATGACAATGACCGCAATGGTTGATCTTCCCACACCAAAATTGGTTTGCTATGGAGCAGTAGCATTTGGGGGTGGCCAGCGTCCAGATGGCAATTGCTACCTGCAGTGCCCCATACTCCTGGGTAAGCATGTTGGTTCGCTGCCACTGAAGCTCCAGGGCTAGTGCAGCACATATCTCCAGAAAGGTTGTCTTCCCCATCGTGAAATTCTCTCACCGCTGCTGGTCATCCCAGGTCTGCAGAACAATCATTTCCTACCAATCCACGCTAGTTTCCTGAGCCCAGAAGCAGGACTGCACACTGTGAAGCTGCTCCAGGAATGGTCCTTGTGATCACAGAACCCCCCCCTTGGGAGCTGCCAGCTGATGTGCCAAGACTACCCCTGCCCCTGCCTTCCTGCCCCATCACCTTAGGACTTCAGTGCCTAAGACTTGCTAGCCTGCTGCAAACCCAAGCCAGACTTGCTAGCCTGCTGCAAACCCAGACCCAAGTCTGAATCATGTCCCCTAACAGCTGTAGGCTTACCTGAAAGCAGCTAACAGAAGTGTTCTTGTCTTTAACACTCAGATGCCCAACTCCCAATGGGGTCTAAACCCAAATAAATCCATTTTACCCTGTATAAAGCTTATGCAGGGTAAACTCATAAATTGTTCGTCCTCTATAACACTGATAGAGAGATATGCACAGCTGTTTGCCCACCCAGGTATTAACACATTCTCTGAGTTAATTAATAAGTAAAAAGTGATTTTATTAAATACAGAAAGTAGGATTGAAGTGGGTCCAAGTAGTAACGGACAGAACAAAGTAAGTCACCAAGCAAAATAAAATAAAACACGCAAATCTATGTCTAATCAAACTGAATACAGATAATCTCACCCTTAGAGATGCTTCAGTAAGTTTTTAATTCAGACTGGACACCTTCCAGGCCTGGGCACAATTCTTTCCCCTGGTACAGCTCTTGTTCCAGCTCACGTGGTAGCTAGGGGATTCTTCATGATGGCTTGTTCTGTTCTACCCATTTATATATCTTTTGCATAAGGCGGGAATCCTTTGTCCCTCTGGGTTCCCACCCCCCCACTTCTCAATGGAAAAGCACTAGGTTGAAGATGGATTCCAGTTCAGGTGACATGATCACATGTCACTGTAAGACCCCAAGCCTTCATTCCTCCCAGCCTGACTCACAAGATGGCTTGCCTGCAAACAGAGCCATCCACAGTCAATTGTCCTGGTTGATGGAAGCCATCAAGATTCCAAACAACCATTAATGGCCCACACTTTGCATAATTACAATAGGCCCTCAGAGTTATATTTCATATTTCTAGTTTCAGATAAAAGAGTGATACATTTATACAAATAGGATGACCACACTCAGTAGATTATAAGCTTTGTTCTCACAAGAGATCTTTTGCATGAAGCATATTCCAGTTATATTATATTCACTCATTAGCATATTTTTATAAAATCATATAGACTGCAACGTCACAGTCCTCTACTATCAGTTGCTTGGTGTCTTCCTCATCCGCATCCTGGTTCCGTTGCTGCTGAAGATTCTTCTGTTGCTGGAAGAGCTGCTGCCACCACATTGTCTGCTCTGTGGTGCAGCTGGTGAAGTCCAACACTGATTCATTCAGTGTTGAGTGCTGAAATACACATCAAGCAGCCTCTGCATATTTGAGGTTGCCAGCAAAGTGGCATGGAGCATTGTTGGAACAGAGCTGGCTGACAGCAATTCTAAAAAGGCATTGGCCTGCACATAAAGTAAGAACAGGACGAAGACAGATGATTTTTCCTTTATTAAAGTTGAACTCCCTGGCTTCTGCTATGCATCCCACAATGTGCAGCAAGAAAAAACCCACAATGGACTTTTCTCAGCAGCAAAGCAAAGGAGCATGGGTTACCCTCCAAGAATGCCATGCCTTCAGTTCTCAGCAAATCACTGCCATGTGAACACAATGATGCACACTGACAAGGGCATAGCATTCCATGTGCATTGGCAGAGGGCATACCATCCCATATGCATGCTACTACTGCAGCTAGCATACTGTGCATTCCCAGATGTGCAGCAAAAAGATGCAGATTAAACCCCCATGCATGCAGAATATCTTGTTTTTCAGAGCACCCAGCAAATTAGTACAAATATGCTCTTTTGCGTGTTTAGCCAGCATAACAAGATCCCTTTCAAAGTATCCATCAAACGGGACACCATCTTAGAGCCCGGCCATCCTTTTAATAAGAGCCAGATTAAGTTTTAGGTCACAGGTTTTCAGTACAGACAAGGCATTCTGCCTTGTTATGGAAGGAGTGTCATATTTCTCAACAGCAATTACGTATTGATGAAATCTGCAGTAAATCTTGATTTTCTTTGTACAACACTTGGCCTTGAGGTCACACAGGTATAAGGGGTAAAATAGGGAAGGAGACTTATTGGCCCAGGTTGGAATTGTGAGCTGTATAGGGGCTTTCAAATACAAATTCAAAGCAAAGTTTTTATCTACATTTTGGTTCACTGCCTTTAATCTTTCATAGTGCCCTCAGAGTGCTTTTGTAAAGGGGCACTCTCACCTGTTGAGCAGCTGGGTGTGGTACTACAGTCCTTTTCTTGCTTCTGGTGTCCCGAGCAGGTTGCCAGCCACCCTTGGAGGATCTTCAGTGTCTTGACCCTCCAGTCAAGTCACAGTGTCCAAATAAATCCTTTCTGACATTAAAAAGTCAGATAATTAAACAGTCTATTTCCCCTCACTAGGGCCTTCAGCCCTGCCTCTGGGCCCTTTAAATTCAGTCCTGTATTTTAGCTCCTAAACAAGGCCTGTCCCCTTCTTGGGGTTTAGACCACTTTATCTAGGCCACTAGAGGAACCCAGCCCAGGCACCCTATACACAGCAGCCACACACTTCTCACCACCTTTATTACCAGCCCTATCTCAGGATCAACATCCCCAGGTTCTTCTCCCTCTGCAATCTCAGTGTAAATTCAGCCAGAAATAACCTCTAGCTACTTGTCATTCTCCTTTGGCCAGAGAAGAACCCACTTCTTCCCTCCTTTGGTCCAAGCCAGGAACTGATATGCTAAGCTCCTGCAGCTCCTTTTATCTAAGCCTGCTGGGCTCTGACTGGCTGTCTCTAGCCCTTGGAGAACCAGGTCTCTCTAGTTTTCAAGATGGCCACTCCAGTAAGGCCTCTCTAGGCAGTGGTGGAGGACCACTTTTGAGGTTCTTTCCCTTGTACCTTGCTTTTTCCTGGGGTGGGGTGCAGAAAAGCAGCAGGGCTTCCCCAGTACAACCCTTCTCAGCTTTGCTGTACCAAGTTAGTCACTGCAGTATCAGAACCTGTGTAGGTAAGTTCAGCAATAGCTATCCATTGACTATCCTTTATGGACAGGGATACAGACTAGATGATCCAAAAAATCTTTTTAATCTCTATCTTCTGTGGTACCCTCCTCATTTTGAAAAGTACCATGGGATCTTTGATTTCACTCAGCAGCTCCCTCTCCAGGACCAGGGTAAAAGAGACTTCAGTTTAACATCGCATTCACAGTACCTCTAATAGTATAGCATCTCCTAGTATTCCACTGCAGTGTCTGCATTGGATAGGAGCACAAATTGTGGTGTGGCTCGAGTCCTCCATTTTAGAGGTTATTGCTGCCAGCTGAACCCAAAAAACACAAAAGAAATGTCTTGGTGTGTTTGTTCAGCACCTAGCACAATGGACCGGGCCCATTAGGTGCTACATTAGCAAAGTAATAATAATAGTAATCATTTAAAAAAGAATGTTCCCTTTAAAACAAAAGCCTGAAATATTGAATTATTCATTTAGATGGGAAGTTTTAAGTACAGTAGTTTGAAAATTTAACTCAGTGGAATTATACTCCACAGATGTCTGATATTATAATACCTGAGATTTAATTAATATATAGTATGCATTTTCTTGCCATTACAAGAAAATTGTAAAATCTTAGATAATTTTTATAGCTGTTTCTAAATCACACATATGTGTCTTTACAGTCTGAACTGGACGGTGATCAGAGAAATTTTAGCTCAAAAGGAGCTTTGGGGTTTCAGCATCCAGTGAGGTGAGATGAATCCTATAAGTTGATCCAGGAAAAGTGAAATTTGTATTTTTGTTCTTCAGTAATAAATTTCCTCCGTGACAAAGTGTTAAACTGTGTAATTCACCTGAGAAGACACAAGGTAAGCAGGATCTGAAGCAATAGGCTAAATCATGACATTAGAAAGCCACAGAAAGAGCCAATGTCATCCTGACAGACCAGACTTACCCCACTGTGAGTTAAGGTTTCATAATTAACATTCCTCAAAAAAGGAAATTTAAAATTAAGGTATCTAATAGTACATACCTTCTCCTCCTCTACCCAGAGAGACACATCTCACCACTAGAACCACCCCACACAAAAACAGATCACAGCCTTAAACCAGCCTTCCAGCACCCTTCCTCAAACTCCCCACCACCATTAACAAACAAACACATCCTCTCTCTGACTACCAAGTCTGCACAGTTCTAGAAAAATCACATTTGCTCATGTTCTCAGGAGCAGCACTTTGTCAAATAGAGACCTCTGGCTAACCCAATATTTGACACCCCCCCCCAAAAAGTAACTGGGGATAAACAGTCACTGCCAAAACCAATAGTACTGACCAGGGAACAGATGGGACTACTTCAATGAGGCCTTTAGATAGAAGGATGGTTTAAAACATGGAGAGATGAAGAGGAGAGAGAAGCCATCAAGGATTCAGAAGAGCCTCCCTTCCACAAGGAAGGGAAGAAATGTAGCCTTCAGACACAAGCCTTGAGTCAGTTAGTCTGGAAGGATTCTAATACACCTCTACCCCGATATAACGCGACCCGATATCATATGAATTTGGATATAACACGGTAAAGCAGTGCTCCGGGGGTGCGGGGGGTGCGGCGCACTCCGGCGGATCAAAGCAATATAACGTGATATAACGATATAACGCGGTTTCACCTATAACGTGGTAAGATTTTTTGGCTCCCGAGGACAGCGTTATATCGAGGTAGAGGTGTAGTTTACATGTTTTTTATAAGTGGTTTTGTTTTGTTTTACTAGACTTTATTTGCCCAAATCTAAATCTCAGAAGTTCCTACACAACATTGGAAAGAAGGTTCTGGCCAGTTTTCCAGTACAAGCCACAATTCATTTCTACAACGACGACTCTGATTCTGAAGATGACGAGGAAGGAAGGAATTCAGCTTTATAATGAACATACTCAGCCTCTGAGGACCATGTAAATGAAGAGACAAAAAATGGCCTCTAATGTGTTTACTAGCAAAAATCATATAAACCAAAAAACAGATCTAAAGCTCATGTGAGAATCATCTTCTTGCTGTCATGTGAAAAATAGTGGGGAGATGCAAATGGCAACAAACATGGAAGGTTTGTTTTCTTTTTGGGAGGCTTACAGGAACAAAAGTCCTTAGAGCAGTTTTTAGAATTTTAGGTTGCAAGAGCTTAGTATGGTCCCCAAACTCACTCTGGCTGGAGTAACATCTGTATTAAGACCATTAATGTCACTGTTACCATTGCACTGTGTTCAGCACAAATGCTATATTATGTTGTGTTGGAAGATGAAAATATATGCCTGATTATGGGAAAAATATACATGCCCCCTACACCTCTCTAAATTTGATTTTTTTGGTGAGATGTGTAAAATGAGAAACTCATATCCATTGTCCCACTATATCGTCTGGGATTCTGCCTGTAAGCTGCTACAAGTTCTGCTCCCTAAGTAATCAGAAAAGAGCCCTGCCATTAATCAGGGAAAGGTGCCAAAGCATGAATAATAAAATATGATTTAACAGTGAATTAAGGTGTGTATTAGAGAATTTTAAACAACAAAACAACAACAACAACAACAAAGGCTGAGGTGTAGCTATAGAAGGACCTTAGATGCATGAAAAATGTGCAGAAGAGAAAATTTAAGAAGGGTCCGAACTACAAAATTCAAATCCTATTCTAAACTTTTCTAAAATGTAGTGGGTTTGAAGCAGGGATTTTAGCATAGCTTATTACAAATCAACTATAAAGTTTGGATTTAGAGCGGAACATCCTCTAGTTTATTTTGTGTTCAGACGCAGGGTGACCAAGTTACTGCTTAGTCTTGCTAATTGCTTTCATAAGCCATTTTAACAACATTATGCCAAGTTCACCTTTCTAGACGAAGCTTTTAAAATCTGCTTCCTATCACAGACTTTGACATGTAGGCAGGGTTTTGAAAGGATTCTTTATTACACCCCTCCCCTGCAAACTTCCAAATTCAAAATATCTCTTCCTAGTTTCTCACTTGTAGTGTTGGAGTATTGCTGTTTGTCTTATAAATATTTTGTACAGTTTCTAGATGTATGAAAAGAATTAACTGCCATCTTATTTTGAGTACAGCCCTGATTCTGCAAAGATTTATGCATGTGCTTAACTTTATGTATTTCTGAATATTTCAGTTGAAATCAGTGGGACTACTCTTGTCCCTAAAGTTATGTGCTTGAATAACTGCTTGCAGAATTAGGGTATAAGACATTCCATTGCATTAAATTAGATTTATTGGAACAAAAAATTAGAAATTAGAAATTAATGGAGATATCCCATCTCCTAGAACTGGAAGGGACCTTGAAAGGTCATCGAGTCCAGCCCCCTGCCTTCATTAGCAGGACCAAGTACTGATTTTGCCCCAGTTCCCCAGGTGGCCCCCTCAAGGATTGAACTCACAACCCTGGGTTTAGCAGGCCAATGCTCAAACCACTGAGCTATCCCTCCCCCCATTTAGAATTTCACCTCTAGCGGCACAATACGAATGCCCCCGGCCGTCCCTCTTAATCATGGCCCCAGTTCCGAAAACCAACAAAATAGAACCGGAGTCCA